CTTACTCACTTATCCTTCACCTTGGGCAGCAACGTGTCATGAGAACAGGCTTGATGGAAGCTAGAGGACAACTAAAACCTACAAGTGAGTGCAGGAAAGTTCCATTCTGCATGTACCTCCTGCAACAACCACTTTGCCATCCCTACCAGGACATCAAGTCCTCAAATATTTGACAGTCTCTGCTAAGCCTTTGTTTGGAATGCCATGCTATTATGCTTTCATTATTGCTCCTTGAAGAAAATTCTGTAACAAAGCATGTTAATCCCAAAGTGGCAGTCGAACTGATAAAATAAATTAAAATTGGCAGGCTCTATAAATGTGAGAGGCATACAGCTGATCAACACAAATAAAATAATTTCAGCAAAGTTTTCTATGTTTCCTTTGGTGAGCATGTTTTCAGTTTCTATTATGCTCTTGGACCCTGGAGGTAACATTCAAATCTTTGGACCTACAAAGACTGGAATTCTACACAGGGAAGTAGCAAGTCCCATTAAAAGCCATGGTGGTCGTCCACTACTCAGAGAAGACCCAGGAAAACTAATGAACATGATTATTTCAATAGGGCTATCCTGAGTAAAATTTAATTGAGTACCATGCCATATCCTTTGACTAACAACTCATCATTTTTAGCTGATTAACCATTTTCCCTTTAATTTATTAATTTATTTCATTTAAATTACCTATGATCAAAACTTCAGTATAAGTGACTATTTGAAATATTGAAGAAAGTGAGAGATTACATAAATTAATTAACAAAAGCTGCTTGCTGTGAGACATAGAGGTCAGCTTTAATATTTTCTTTCTGTTTGCCTTTACAGGGAAACATATAACCAAAACAGACTTTAAAAATAAGCATGCCTTTAACTCACTACTTTACTCATTAAAATTTGCACTCACTGGTTAAAGTGATAGCCAGCGATTATTAGAGCTTGTAGTTCTAGTTATTAAAGTCTATGCTATGGCATTTTAATTATACTGAATATGGTTGGCTTGTGCTAGACTGTGTAATTATTTGTCATTAATGCTTTAATGATGCTGCATACACATTCACAGGGCAATCCTATACATGCCTACCCAAAAGTAAATCCCAGTGAATTTAATGGGATTTACTTCCAGATATGTGTATACAGGGTTGCAGCCTCAGTGACTTAAGCTGGGACTGTGGGCTCAATTTTAATCACTAGCTGAAACTTTGCTAGGCATTAGTACAGTGGTACATCAGGTTAAATACTTAATTCGTTCCGGAGGTCTGTTCTTAACCTGAAACTGTTCTTAACCTGAAGCACCACTTTAGCTAATGGGGCCTCCCCCTGCTGCTGTGCAGGGGCACAATTTCTGTTCTCATCCTGAAGCAAAGTTCAAAACCCGAGGTACTATTTCTGGGTTAGCGGAGTCTGTAACCTGAAGCGTCTGTAAACCTGAAGTGTATGTAACCCGAGGTACCACTGTATACTGTACTAATTTTGCAAATGTTGTGTCTAGCTGTATCAGGGACGGATTTTAGTTTTTCAAATTTCAGCGAAGGCAAAAATTCAGTGCCCCCCACCTCTTACCCTCCATTAAACCCTATTCACTATGCCATCACTGCAACACCCGGCAGCACCCCCTTAGCTTGGCATCCAGCACAGTAGAACTGGTCACACTGCCCTAAATCCACCTCTGACTATATCTTGCCACTGCTGCAGTGTACACCAGATACATCTATTATTATTATTATTATTATTATTATTATTATTATTATTAATACCCTGCCCATCTGGCTGGGTTTCCCCAACCACTCTGGGCGGCTTCCAACAAAATATCAAAATACAACAATTCATCAGATATTTAAAACTTTCCTAAACAGGGCTGTCTGCAGATGTCTTCTAAATGTCAGATAGTTGTTTATTTCTTTGACGTCTGATGGGAGGGTGTTCCACAGGACGGGCGCCACTACCAAGAAGGCCCTCTGCCTGGTTCCCTGTAACTTGACTTCTCTTAGCAAGGGAACCGCCAGAAGGCCCTCAGCGCTCGACCTCAGTGTCCGAGCAGAACGATGGGGGTGGAGACGCTCCTTCAGGTATACTGGACCGAGGCCGTTTAGGGCTTTAAAGGTCAGCACCAACACTTTGAATTGTGCTCGGAAGCGTACTGGGAGCCAATGTAGGTCTTTCAGGACTGGTGTTATATGGTCTTGGCGGCCACTCCCAGTCACCAGTCTGGCTGCCGCGTTCTGGATTAGTTGTAATTTCCAGGTCACCTTCAAAGGTAGCCCCACGTAGAGCATGTTGCCGTAGTCCAAGTGGGAGGTAACCAGAGCATGCACTATTCTGGCGAGACAGTCTGCAGGCAGGTAGCGTCTCAGCCTGCATGCCAGATGGAGCTGGTAGACAGCTGCCCTGGAGGCCGAATTGACCTATGCCTCCATGGACAGCTGTGAGTCCAAAATGGCTCCCAGGCTGCGCACCGTCAGGGGCACAGTTACCCCATTCAGGACCAGGGAGTCCTCCACACACGCCTGCCGAAAGATTTCAGCATGTATTGAGTTGCTTCCTGAGCTGATTCTAGCATCCACCAAAGCCTACACACAAAAACAATCACAGAAGCACCAGCTTGTATTGATTTTAACTAAGTTAAAACATTCTCAGTGTGAATCACCAGTGTCTGCATTCCAAAGGGAGCCAACTCCAAGAGAATATTGATATGACAAACGTATATCAGTTTTCTACCACTTTAACTGTCATGGCTTCTCCCAAAGTATCCTGGAATCTGTAGCGTCGTAAGGATGCAAAGCTCTGCCAGAGATCTAGAGTTATGAGAGTTCTCTAGGGAACAGAAATTCCTGTTAAACTAGTTGACGTCGGGGGTACAGATAACCCTTAGTTGGAACAATTCATACAGGGCTTAGAGTTTCTGTGTCTTCTATAGATTTCATGCCTTCTGTCTGCTAAGGCAATCAAATAAATAACACTTTGTGGTGATGACAGGAAGACTTGGAACTTGTATTTAACTGAATTCCTTCCAGGAAATGTAAGAAATGTTTTCCACAGCTTCTCACTTCAACTGGGTTGACGGTATTACATTGTGGATTTAATTAACAAAAAGTATTTTTGAAATACTCTAAATCTGACTAATCCACCTCTCTCCACCAGGGACCCCCTTCCCTTAAGCTCTGTGCTGTTTGCATTCACGAAGGGTCTTCATGCATGATATTGCTGCCTCCTGAAGTGCTTTCTCATATCAGACTGTGCTCCACCTTGGATCCAGGAGGTGAAAAATATAAAACAAAAGGTTAACTGGGGGCTTAGCCTTGTTAATCTTGCTCTAAAATGGAAAGCTGATGCTCAGAATTAAATTAAGAAAAAAGAGCTATTAGCATATGCTTAGGAGTATCCAACTCTCTCCCCATTCATAAGAACACAGTTATATAGGGTAACGGGTAGGCAATCTAAGGCCCGGGGCCCGGATGTGGCCCAATTGCCTTCTCAATCTGGTCTGCGGACAGTCCAGGAATCAGCGTGTTTTTACATGAGTAGAATGTGTCCTTTTATTTAAAATGCATCTCTAGGTTATTTGTGGAGCATAGGAATTCGTTCATTTTTTTTTTTCAAAATATAGTCCGGCCCTCCACATGGTCTGAGGGACGCTGGACCGGCCCATGGCTGAAAAAGGTTGCTGACCCTTGGGTTAATATTATCACCAGGTCACCAATGTGCATGTCAAGGTGATGACTGGTAGAGAATGGGGAAGCACCAACAAGGTAGATTCCTCATTTGCTCTTTTCACTCTTCCTTCCGTTCTTGTATTGAGAGAATAATTCATCACAATTAGGACTCTCCATTTGGCCCAAATATGGTGTCAGGTGTGGGACAGGTAAAAACAGCTGGACTGGAAGGGGATTTGCTAGCGCTGACAATCAGCAGCTTGTGAAGTGCATGATTTGACTACTTATGTCCCAGGACTTTAGTTAGTGCAATTAACTGGAGTGAGCCGACTGATTCTTCAATATAGGTCGATAGTGACAAGCTTGGCCAGGAAACCCAGTGCATGTGGACCGTGATGGTCAGGTGAGCAGCTGTAGTTGCTTCCATACATTTCCTCATTTCCTCTTTCTCTTAGAGCTGCCATGCAGACATTAGTAAAGGCTGCAAGGATGGAGGTAACCTTAGTCCATAGGATCTTTTGCAATGTGATGGGAGAGACACCACGGTTTTGACACTAAATTGTAAGCATACAGACAAGGACTGTGTTGTTTTTTTAAAAGCTTTAGGTGGTATTTTGTCAATGTTACTGTAGTTATTTTAACATCGAGCAGATGTTTGTTTGCCATACCACCCTTCATCTGAAGATCACAGGATGGATTACTATATATATATATATATATATATATATATATATATACACACACACACACACACATATATATATATAATACATAACATAGTAACAAACAAAAACAATCCCACAATTTTCAGATAGAAAAGAAAGAAAGAAAAACAAAACAGAAAATTAAAACAGCAAATAAAATACACCTGCAAAATAGAAACTCAAAATTACATAGAAGAGAAACCGACCCAGAAGTGGCATGCCTTTTTTTTTTAATGCAATCCTTTTCCCTATACAACATGGAGTGTGAAAACTGAGGAATAATTTGACTCAAGATATGTTGCTAGTTATGCTTATGCTGTAGAAAAAAAGAAACAGCCCCCACCCTCGTAACTTAATGCAACTGTGTTTTATGAAAATGTTGTCTCTCTGGAGAGCCCAGAATAAATGCTTTTTCTGGTGTTTTGACATACTCAGTCTAAATCCTAGCCCTATCCTAAAAGGGCAAGTCACAGTGTGAATTTAAAAATAAAACAGCTCGCATGTTTGTTTACAACTGTTTAAGAAGTATGTAAAAATATACGAACCAGGCCAAAGGCCTTTCTAAATAGCATCTTGTTTTCCACAGTGGCCAAGCAGTTGCCTCCTGGAAGCCCACAAACTTGACATGAGGGCAGCAGCCCTGGCCTGGTGATGTACAGATTCAAAACTTATCAACTTCCTTTGCCCAGGGTGGCCAACGTTCCCTGCTGGAGGCTTGTTCCACGCCAGAGAGGTACTAAAATGAGCTCCTTTCTTGAGAGCTGAGACCATGTGTAATTATTCAGATTCTTTACTGCGGGAAGCATGCCAGAATTATGATAGCTATTCTCCTCTCTGCCGATAAGCAGATGTTCCAATTCTTCTTATTGTACCTCCCGTGAAATCAAAGCTCTGCTTCCAGGAAGGTAACACAATGAGATTGAAAATTTAAGTCTGAGTTGTTCCCCGCTGCTCCAGCTCTTGCTGAGCGTCACAAGGCTTCTCTGCAGAGCTCCCTCCGGGGGTATGGGAGGAGGTTTGCCAAGGTCAGAAATGTCCTGCGCTGGTCTGACATAATATATGTGTGTCATGATAAGTAGACTGGAGGTGGGCCAGAGCATAAATTGGAAAGATTTTTAGGGCAGCAAATTAATTAAGAGCAGACATCAAGTAAAAAAGGAATGTGCTTTTCCCTCCCCCAACAAGAAGGTTTGTTCCAGGCAGCCACACTTCCATTAAAGCACATTGCATTATTATTTGTGTGTTTTATGTGTTTTTAATTTTTAAATAGTTTTTATTTGGTTTTACAAATTAATGTTCACATTCAAAATCACAAATAATTACAAATACACGAGATTCTTCAGAATCTCTAGATTTCCCTCCTCTGCTCTGTGGACTTTTTACTTAACCTTTTCAGCTGCACACTATAAGTCACTCTAATTTTCCAGTTCTCCGTTGTGTCCAAAGTCTTTGTTACATTACAAGAGTTATTTAAGACCTGCTAAAGTGTTTAACTGTTTACAGTGGTCTCTCAGATATAATATAAATTTCCTCCATTCTTTGTTAAAGTTTTGGTCCTCCTGATTTCTGATTTTCCCAGTCATTTTTGCCACCTCCGTGTAGTGTAACAACTTAGTCTGCCATTCCACTCTGGTCCATAGGAACCTTATCGTCTTTCCAACTCTGAGCTACCAGCATCCTTGCTACTGCCTCGTGTGTTTTTTAAAGCCACAAGTTGGAGGATAAATTTTCTAGCTTCAAACTGACTCCAAACTAGACCCAAAAAGAGAGTGGGGAAAAAACCTGTAAAAATTGCCCCCCACTTGGTGCCCACATTGTTAGGTTGTGGGTGAACATATCAGACGACACCACGATTCTTCAAACAGCTCTTGTTTATTCAGAGGCCAGAACAGAACTGAACTGAAGGGTTCAGCCAGCCTGCTTATATAGAGCTCCAGTACAACGTAACTGTAACAACTTTCTGTAACTATCCAATCACTGAATGTCACTTTCGATCCCTTATTTGCATATGTGGACCTGAACTATCTACAGTATCACCTTGCTGGTCCAGGGTGAGAACTTCAGTACATAACACACATCATATCCATGTATCAGACATCAAGTATTAAAAAAATAGATAAGCAGATCTCCCCCTCTCCCCAAAACAAAGCACTTAGAACAGAAAAACCAAAATCCTCTCTCTGGCCCTTCAGACTTTCCTTGGCCACACCCACTTCTCCAGGCCACGCTCCTTGCTGGCCCTCCTTTGTGTGGCTGGAATGTGCCCTTGATGGAGGGTAGAGGAAAGAGGTGAGTGACTGGGTGCAGAAACTGGCCTACTGTACAAAAATGAAATTCGCAGTTGTTGCTCTGCCTATTTTTGCCTCTGGCCCCGCCCAGGGCAAGCATGTGGTCCCCAGAAGGTTGCTCAAAAAGGAATGGAGACCTCAGGTTGAAAAGGGTTCCCCCTTTCCTGGTTTAAGATCTGAGTCAGTTAATACTGACCCAGCGGATGCGATGACTTATTGGAATAATAATCATGTTCAATAGGAACGGAACTATGGGTCATCCTAGCCCCCCAATTTGCAAACCCCTGATCTTAAATCTCTACACTAGTTTCCGTGTGTGTGTGTGTGTGTGTGTTATTAATTTTGAAACTGAATTTGTTGCTTAGGTAGGCAGCAATAGCTTTCACAGCAGCTTCTGTAACCCCAAGGAGAGCAGGTGCTTTATTGCACAGCTCTGACAATGGCACTTGAGTTGTCCTGCCTTATCACATTTCCATTTATCTTGCTGGCTAGAAAAAAGATTGCCTACTGTCGAAATGATTGTTTGTGATGGAGGCACATAAGGGTTAGAATGAAACAAATAACACTATTCCCCCCTCCTTACCTCAGGCAGGGTTACCTGGAGGTAAAGGGCCTTTGTAGATATTTCTGAGTCACGCTGTATTTTCTCTGAAAGTTATTGCCTATAGAATACTTTTCACTCATCTATATGCAAGGAAATGTTTGCAGAAGCCTTGCTTATAGGAACAAAGCATCAGCTTAAACAGGTTTATGACTCTGAGCAGAACAATATGAACCTCTCCTCTTCGCCTGCTTTTCCCATAGGCAGGTAGAAAGGAAAGCTCTGTATGATTAAGGAACCTTCTAGAGTGATATTTAATGTGTCCTCCTTGTGATTTTGTACATTCTGATGTAACAGCAGATACGTTCTCCCACCCTTACCCCAAGAAGAGGAAACCACCAACAAAAGCTGAGATAACAGAGGCAAACGGTCAGTTCAGAAGACTAGAAATAACCTTGGTAATGGAAAAGAAATGAGTTGTTGGTGGGAGGTTCTTCTTGGGGAAAGGTGGTAGAGTTGGAAGGGACCTCAGCGGTCATCTAGTCCAACCCCCTGCAATGCAGGAATATCAGCTAAAGTGTCCATGACAGATGGCCATCCAACCTCTGCTTAAAAACCTCCAAGGAAGGAGAGTCCACCACCTCTCGTGGGAGTCTGTTCCACTGCCAAACAGAAGGTTTTTGGGAATGTTTAGTTGGAATCCCCTTTCTTGTAACTTGAAGCCATTGCCTCGAGTCCTACCCTCAACATCACCACAAAGCATCACATCCAACTATGCATGGCTGTCTTTGCATTGGCAAGCTGAGCACGAATCAAGGTGCTTAATTCGCTTAATTCAAGGTGATAGCAACTGGCATGCTGACAGTGTCATCCACACACAGACACACATGCAAACTGCCTCATTTCCCAGGAACCCGGCAGAACTTGCACAATTTGGCAGGCTGTGCTGCAACCTGGGATTTTCTTAATAATATCCTTACTTGGGGACAGACAGCCATACCAGTCAAATAGCATTCTTCTCTTGGACCCACTGTATCACAGGCAAATAGATCAAAGTGCTTAATGATGGGTGTGTGAGTTCCGCTCAGCCACAACCCTGTTTTTTCCCATGCAGAGCAGAATGAAGGGGGTGGGGGGAATCACCACCAGACACCAACTAATGATTAAAGCCAAATGAAGCCCTGCAGTGACTCGGATTTAATTTTTACTGTAAGCTGTGCCTTTCCTGGTCATCAGAACTCCATTCTGAGAAAAACAGTTCCCATCATTCAATCAATTAATGCAGAACAGGCCGTTTCATGTTTCTAATGTGATGGAAAGTAAATGCATGTCGTTTGATGCCAAATTGAATGTAGGAATGAACTGTAATTCATGTATAGTTTTGTACATTTTTCTAAAATTGCAGCCTTCAGTACCATCTGGGTCTTTCAAATCACAATAATTCCAGAGCTAGGAATGTTTCATTAAGGCAGCAAAGAAAATGGGAAGAGGTGGGAGGGGGAAGACTTGGGTAGCATTAAAATGACCCGAGGTTGAAGGCATTTTTTTCCTGAAATGTACCTGCTCCTTCTTCCTGTAACACCAGATGCCATTTCCTTAGCTATATATTCATAGTGTCCATAAAGCAATTTTATGTAGATTCTCTTTGTAAAACTTATAAGACAGGTTAGTATTGTTATCATCCCTCAATGGTTGGGCAAGATGGTGGCTTGTCTAAATCCTTTTTCTGAATTTTGGATAGAAGGGAGGGATTTCTCATCTCAGTCAGGAGCCACCAGTGCTACAATTTGGAATACTGTTGCCTCATGTGTTGAACCACCAGAACTGCCACTAGGACAATCTACTTGGGCAGTGAAGTTTTGTCAACCTCTGAACTGACACCACCCCCCTTACTAGACAGGAAGGACTACAAAGGGCTTCCAGTTTGGTTTGGGACTTTTCATTGTCTCTTTAGATCCAATATGTTCCTCGGCTCTTTGACTCCCTGACAGAACTCCTGGTTCTTGGCTTTCCTCTGAATGTTGTCCATGGCTCAGGCCTCACAAAGCGATAGATTATACACATAACAGCCACCACACTATGCTAGCTCTCAGTGTTGCCCATATGTCATTTATTCATATCTAAAGCAACTCCCTCTCAGGAGAAATAACAGCTTTACATTTCCACCCTCTTTATGTCTCTGATAGCTTGCCGTAGGATGGTGCCTCATAAAATATCTCATAAGAACAAAAAAGGGATGGAAATGAATATATCCATAGGTACAGAACGCATCTATTGAATGCTAAATGCTATGGATTCCAGACAAAAAACTAATTTGGAGTCTGTAAGCTTGGTTAAGCCAATAAGGGCCTTCTGGTGGGGTGGGGGCTTCTCCATTCTCTTCAGCAAAGGCAGTAGTCTTTATTGTGTGCATTTCACGGAACCTGAGTGAGTGGAGAAGCCCTTTTATGGAGGGTATGCTTTGAATACCTCAAATATCTATTGCCTACAATAAATCACTGAAGCATCCATCTGCATGCTCAGAATTTCCCCTTTTGTTGAAGAGGAAAGGAAGTGTGTGTGTGTGTGTGTAGCATAGCAGACCTTACATGTTTGCAAAGGATCACATGATCAGAATATAAGCACAATCTAGCAAAGCACTCTTCTTTCTGACAGCAAATAGCCAGTTGTATCCTAAAGCTCAAAGGTAAGTGGAGGAGGTATAAAGATACTGCTGCACATAGGCCTACTGACCTTTGAATAAGGAGGTGTGATTTAGTTCTCACAGCCAGTGAGGAGGCTAATTCTTCACATTTTGGCCTTCATTCTATTTTAAAATCTAGAGGCCCTCACAACCTGTGCTATAGAGTTCACTAAGCTGCAATCCCATACAGTCATACCTCGTGTTACGTTTGCTTCACGTTGCGGCTTTTCAGGTTACAAACGCGGCAAACCCGGAAGTGTTTACTTCCAGGTTCGCCACGTGCACATGTGCAGAAGTGATCTGCATGCTTTGCGCACGCACAGTAGCGGCACTCTACTTATGGACTTTTCGGTGTGCGAACGGCACCCCGAAACAGATCATGTTCATAAGTAGAGGTACCACTGTACACTTATCTGGGAATTTTACTTGACATTTAATTTAATTGCACTTTCTGATATAGTTATACATCAATATTCACACTTCTCAGAATTTTGTGATGCAGTTGCATTGCAAAAAAATGTGAATTTTAGGCAAAATTGCATACAAAAATGTGTATGTGAGGAGAAATTTACATTCAAATGGTAACAATTTTAATGAGGAAAACCAAACTGATATGGATATGTGGAAAACTGAACTTAAGATTGAAAAAAATGAGAAAGAGAAACCAAAATTGACAGATTTGCCTATCCCTATAAGAGTGTAAGAATAGCCACTGGATTCAGCCAGTGGCCTGCTTAATCCAGCATGTTGTGCTCACAGTGGCCAATCAGGTGACCACAGGAAGCCGACAAGCAGGACCTGAGCACAACAGCACTCTCCCTCCTGCAGTTTTCCAGCAACTGATACTCACAAGCATACTGTCTCCAACCATGGAAGCAACTCATTGGGTCTTGGTTCTGAGCAGACTTCAACAGGGCTGCAGTAATAAGCAAGGGTAGTGGTGTGTTGACCATCAAGCCCAGAACAATACTCATTCAAAGCACTGATTATTAGAAACATGTTGTGAATGTATAGATCATAGACACTGAAACACAACTGCAGGATGGTCACAAAGCATGTTAATTTTTTTAAGTCACTATATACATAAAAAACATAGTAATTGTTATTCTGTGTTGTAGCCAGCTAAGTCAAACTGAGAGTAGACCCACTGGAATTGATATACTTAAGTTAGCTTCATCTATCAATTTCTGTGGGTTTGTATGACCCACTTGGAATCAAACCAATAATAATAGCAACTATAATCCAAGTCCAGTGAAAGTTGGTCATGCTTAAGTGCCTTGAAATCCATAGGCCAAGCTAGTTGCAACTCCTTTGCTACCATCCATTTCAGTGGGGTTTTATTGTGACTGACATCTTTGAACTAAGGCCACTGATAATAGAAATTTTAAAAGTGGCCACAGAAATCCACTGTCTGACCTCAGTAGTATGTTTTCAGTTTGTTCTGTTTTATCCATCGGTGCTGAAAGGAGAAAGTGCAATAGGAAAACAACTTTGAAACCAATCACCATTAATGATTATCCTAAAGAGTAATTACAACTCCCACAGGCACCATTAAATTTCATGTTAACAGAGTGCAGAATGCAGACTAAAGAGCAGCAGAACTGCCCAGTTTTGTTCTCACTAATCCCCCCTCTCATAAGATGTCAAGGAATGAACCAAAATAGCATTAAAGGTCTGGATTAGTGCAAGCAGACAGAAAACGCCTTCCTGCCTACGCTTGCTTGGAAAATGATAAGGTAAACTCAGTAATTTTGAAACCAATTATGTATCTTAGTGCATCGCCAGGCTGTTCATGCATCAACTGCTTTAGGAGCATGCGAGACCACTGCTGGCTCGTGATGGGGTGCTGTTCACATGACAACTCCATTTTCTGATCTGGTACCTCCACGTTGGGGCAGCAGCTGTGCACATGGCCATGTTGCAATAGGCATGAACACAACAGCTCAAGTAAGGCTGCACATCATGGAGATGATAAGTGCATCCCATGTGAATGTACCACATCATACAAACAAGGTGTCCTAATGCTGTGAAGCTAGCAGTAACCCTGTATGCTCTCAGAGGCTATAACATGGCTGGCAGCGGCAAGGACTCTGAATGGATGAACATCAATCATTCTCAATATATGGGATCTTCCTTATCATATCTCTGAGAAGGAATAAACTAGTTTAGCCAGGCTTTTTTCAACTAAAAATATCAACTGAATATCCGTTTGATTTTAATACTACATTGCCAGCCACTTGAGCTAAGTACAAGATGAAATATAAAACAAAATGTGCTGTGGTTAAAAAACAACAACTCTAAATTCCACATTAGGTTTTATAGATATTATGGTCAGTACAGGGCACAATAACCTTGTCTATTGCCCAGTACAGGACAAGTGGTATAAGGACAGGGGTAGCCAACATGTGCCCTCCACACTGCAGCTTCCATAATCACTGGCCACTAGCCATGCTTGCTGGGGTTGATTGGCGTCGGAGCCCAGCAAATCTGGAGATCACCCCATTGGCTCTCCTTGGTACAAGGCATACTTGTAATATCAAGGTATGAAACTGAATGTTCTGGATGAATAGGAAAGGGGAATCAGTTTATAGAGAGCATTGCTAGATTTGTAGGCCGAAGGTTTCATCTTCCATCCATGGCCTCTTCAGGTAAGGCTGGGAAGGACTCCTGTATTAAACTCTTAACACTGCTAGTCAGTGTAGCATACCAGGAATGGAGATCCAGCTGCTATCACTGCCAAGTCTTCTATTTCCCCTGATATTAATTTCTTTGCACAGTCTGAAGGAAAAATGTTATTGCATTGGAAAACACACGAATCCTGCAGATCAGCCAGCTCTTCCACTGTTCTTGCTCTTGCTGATTCTTTTTTATGCAGCAAGAATATATTTTAAATTAAAAATATTTAGAACCAACGTATCCATTCTTCTTCAGCACAGAGACCCCTGTGCAGAAAGCAAGTCACTAATTCATTTTAAAGGCTTCCTTCCCCTTTCATTTGGAACATTCATTTCAGTGGGTTACACGGCTGGGGTACATGCCATGATGGCAACATATAAGATACTCTATTAAGAAAATCATCTCCCCCTCCTAGAAAAAAACCCCACCACCCCAACTAAGCAATCAATAATCTTCAGCTGAGAGAAAGTGCAAGATAAGACGAAGGAAAATTACAGCAGGAGTTGACGGCTTATGAAGGGAATTCTTCCTCAGTGGCTAATCCTCTCCACATGCTCTAACGAAGGAAGCATTATCTCAAACGGCCATGTGTGTCTCATTGATTCCAATTGGGCTTTCCTCCCTTCTTGTAAATGCCTTACACTTTGAGGGGAAGAATATTTTTAAAGCCCACCAGAGAGTGTTTTCTTAGTTGCCCTTCAGAGTATGTTAAGAATTTGCTGTCAGAGCTTGGTGCTGCAACATCTGGAAACTTCCTGTATGTGGTCATCTGACAGATGCTGAACACAGGCATTCTTATTTTATTTTATTTTATTAAATTTGTGAGTCACTCACAGAACATCCACTGCCACACCTCGAGATGTAAAGGAGAAGTAGAGTTGTGTGTCATTGGTATATTGCTGACAACATACTCCAAAACACATGTTTGATGTGCATCCTGTTTGATATGCAAACATCATCACAGACCACCCAGAGCCAGCCCAAGACATTTTGCTACCTGAGGTGAAGCACCAAATGGCACCTCCCTCAAATCAAGTGACCTAGTATCCAATCAAAGCCTGTGAAAATACAGGAAAGGAGAAGAATGTCACCAAAGCCAGGAGTCACATGTCAAGCGTGACTACAAGATGCAACAACACAGAGGGCCCCCAAGTCCACAAAATACAAAGACAGTCTATAAAACCCATTTAAAAAAACATAAGATATGTGGGATATTATTAACAGGAGTAGCAATGCTGTATGCAGTAATAGCAATACAAAAAACACATGTGAAATAAATCACAATGGTGGTACATAAAAATGCATGTGTGAGATACTGAGGCCAAAAAACCTCACTCCTTGAACTGAAAATACTATAGTGGAGGAGATCTCTGGATTATATGTGTCCTCATTACAGTGGTACCTCGGTTTATGAACTTAATCCATTCCGGAAGTCCGTTCTTAAACCAAAACCATTCTTAAATTGAGGTGCGCTTTCCCTAATGAGGCCTCCTACCGCCGGTGCCATTCCACCATTCAGATTCCGTTCTTAGACTGAGGTAAAGTTCTCCAACCAAGACACTATTTCTGGTTTTGCGGAGTTTGTAAACCAAATCATTCTTAAACCGGACTCTTCTTAAACTGAGGTACCACTGTACTTCATCAAAACCAACTTAGATATGAGGGGTTTCTCATGTATGGCAGCTGAAAACTAGCCCTCTGACCAGGAGTGTGCCCACAGTATTCTCACAGTGGTACCTTTCTATGTATGTTCCAATGCCAAGTGATGCAGTCATATGCAGTACGAGGGCTGTAGGTTATAACATCTGTCACAGAGGTTTGTCCTCCAGCTTAGGAGGTAGTCCTGCAGTACCCCATTTGACAATGTAACTTTATTTCAATCCTTCTAGGAGCATAGGAAGTTGGGGACAACAGCAGTGGTGTTTACTTGCAGGCTGTTTAGATGTCTTCCCGCTAAACATTTATTCATTCCACATTTTTCAATGCATTTCCCTGGCACTCCCCTAATTGCAAAACGTCCTTTTCTTTCTTCCTTTTTTAAAAAAGTGGATTTGGTATGCACGAGCAACACAACACTTTAATCCGCTTAAATTGTGTGAACCTAAATTTCCCAGCATGCTATTTAAAAACCCCTCACAAAATACTGACAGTCTGGAGGAGCCCTTAAACTAACCAGCAGCTTGTAGTCTTTAGTGAAGTCATTTTAAGTATCACATTCATATGGTTTGTGTGTCCTCTTTTTACACTTGATTGAAACTGCATTGATTGAAAATGCTGAGGACTAATACTGTACTTAGGCTCTTGGCTTTAAAGGCCGTTTGTTTATTTCAGCACCAGTTTCCTGAACAATACAAGCTCTGGTTGCAAGTGGGAAGCTGTGGGTATGAATTTTCCCATGTATAGTATCTCCTTGTAATTAGAAAACTAGCACTAGTCATTAGAAGACCTTACCCTGGCTCTCTTCCTGAAATGCTGTGTTTCTATGTGCATGGAAACACCAAACATTCATGAACATCACACATAATAATCATAATCATAATAATAATAATTTATTATTTATACCCCGCCCATCTGGCTGGGCTTCCCCGGCCACTCTGGGCGGCTTCCAAAAGAATACCAAAATACTATAATACATCAAACATTAAAAGCTTCCCGAAACAGGGCTGCCTTCAGATGTCTTCTAAAAGCCTGGTAGTTGTTGTTCTCTTTGACATCTGGTGGGAGGGTGTTCCACAGGGAAGGCGCCACTACCCTCCCCCTCCCACAGTCCAGGAAGGGAGAAAGGGCTGGCACTAGCTGATTCTGCCAGTTTTTCAGAGTTTGAGCTGCATAGATTTGGAAACATACGCCGCTGGCACACAGGACCTTAGATCCCTTTCTCTCTCCTGGATTTGCCTGCCTTTAACACAGCCAGCAGCACGTCGAGCCAAAAAGCTGCCTTTATTGTGTCTCTTTTTACATGCAGGGAGGTTCAGTAAGGGTTTTATGGCCCTAGCTTTGCGATGCTTGCTCACACAAAGTTTGGGAGCCTCTGGCATAGACAATACATGCTTATGTATTTCACAAAGCGGCAAATATGTGCTAAGCAAATGAGAAACAGCTGCAGCCTGTTGGGGGTTGGTGGGAACTGGCACTCAGGGAGGATTGTATGTCTGGGCTTTCTGCTCATTTTGTCCATCGTGAACATGCCTCTGCTGTTGAAACTTGATTTTATTTTATTATTTTTATATCTAGGACACGCAGCTCTCATATCCTGAGCGTCACTCAAAAAGGCATTTCCTTGATTATAATTCCTCAACTATCGTAATTGATGAAATGGTATTCCCAGCTGATGGCACCAGAATAGGAAAACCAGGATAGTTTAATTCTTAAACTGACCTGATTTTCAGCTTTTGAAATTAGATTATTTTCTGGATGTCTCCATCTGCTGACATTTCTATCTGTCACAAATATGAGTGTGACTGTTATCCTGACAATGCTAAGGATCTTATGATGGTGTGTCAGCCACCAAATAGCTGAACAAAGTGATATGAAGCTATCCAGTGCTTTTTTTCCCCCTTAAAAAATGTTTAGGGGTACTCTCATTTCCCTACTCATATTGAAATATTAACCCACAATGAGGCCAAACTTAGATTTGCAAAATGTTTAGGGGTATGCATCCCCCCAGAAAAAAAGCACTGAAGTTACCATTTTCTTCATGTTCCACAACAAATTCCCTCTGTGTTTGGGGTTCAGAATCAATATATCAGCTTGATAAAAGTCCAGTCATTCAATACAGACTGAAAACACACCACAGCAAGGAATGAACTATGAACTTGCTAGAGTTCCTTTCTCACTTCCGAGTTCAGTGAGTACACCCGGAAATTGTATTTTGTTATTTTATTCAAGAGAATCCAACTTCCCTTGCTGAATATTCCAGGCATTTAGAATCTAGGAAATAGTAAACACACACACACACCTCCAAGAGAGTAGACACACACAAGCTCCCCCCCCCTATTATTCATGGGCTGTAGAGTTGAAAGATAGTGCCCCGCATGGTGGAGGTTGTTTGAACAAAACATCCTGCTGATAAGTTGCTTTTGAAGATATATAGTGTTCGGTTTGCAACAAGTACTCAATAATTCCAAATCTGCATGCACTTACAAAAGACTTATGCACCCATTAGTCTCAATCTACTTGCACTGTGTGAGGACCAGTGCATGCAAACAGAGGATTCCAACAGCCCTGGTGAGCACACTCAAGCATACATGGAAACAGCAGGGCCCGGCCATTAAACAGAGTACAAGGTGTGTGTCGTGCCTATATCCACTCAGCCAAGCTTCTCTGCCTGATGCAAGTTATGCATGACCTGGAGCATAACTCACTGGTATTGAGACAAAATGGATGGATGGGGAAATGGAAGATTATGTGCGTACAGGGGTGTGTGGGTTTTTAAAAATCTCCAAAGACTACATCGAAGTAAAAGAGTGGTCACCTGGGATGGGAGAGGCCACTGATATGCTTCTCCTATGTTTAGGGTTGCCAGATTTCAAAAAGTAAAATTCCTGACACCCGCAAAGTTGTTGAGCATTTTTTGGAAGGCCCTAAAATTGTGGACAACATCTTAAAAAGCAGAGACATCACCTTGCCAACAAAGGTCCGTATATTTAAAGCTATAGTTTTCCCAGTAGTGATGTATGGAAGTGAGAGCTGGACCATAAAGAAGGCTGATCGCCAAAGAATTGATGCTTTTGAATTCTGGTGCTGGAGGAGACTCTTGAGAGTCCCATGGACTGCAAGAAGATCAAACCCATCCATTCTGAAGGAAATCAGCCCTGAGTGCTCACTGGAAGGACAGATCCTGAAGCTGAGACTCCAATACTTTGGCCACCTCATGAGAAGACTCCCTGGAAAAGACCCTGATGTTGGGGAAAGATTGAGGGCACAAGGAGAGGGGGACAGCAGAGGAAGAGATGGTTGGACAGTGTTCTTGAAGCTACCAGCATGAGTTTGACCAAACTGCGGGAGGCAGTGGAAGACAGGAGTGCCTGGCGTGCTCTGGTCCATGGGGTCACGAAGAGTCGGACACGACTAAACGACTAAACAACAACAACAAAATTGTGGAGCTTTTTAAAGGAAATCATCAGATTGTTGAAAAAAACCCCACCCAAATTGTTAAGCTTTTCTTGGGAAACCTAACCCCAAAAATAGTGATTTTAAGCTTTTGAACTGTTTCTCCATACATCCAGGTTTTCCCAAGCATTTTGTTGATTCAGCAACATTTCCCCCAACGACATTTTTACAGCCAAAAACCAGGACACGTCAGGAATGTTCCTGATGTATGGCAAGCCTACAGTCCTTTCCTTGCTCAAATTAGCACTTTTTCTCCTAGGTTTGGGAAGAGGATGTTGAGAATAACGTAGCCCATTCCAGGAAGTTTGGGGTTTACCAAATGAGGAAGGGGTGAGTCTTTCACTTTCATTGAAGGTAGTTTACTCAAGCTTCTGCCACTGTTTAGAACCACAGTTTTTCTCTCAGTTCTCCCTTCTTTACTCAGACTTCTGTTGTTTTAAGCCACCACTTTCCCCCTCTGTGTCCCTCCCTTCTTAGTCCCATGCCATGGCCATTGCTGTTAGTTTTGCTTCCTTACCCCACCTTGGCTTCATACAAATCCAGGATTGTGATGGTCACATCCACAACACTTGCTCAAAAATCCAGATGTGCCCATAGGCCTAAAAATTAGTGAGCCCCTGATCTGGGTGGGGTGTCAGTCATCCCCCTATAAAGCTAACCTCAAGCTTTGTTATAACTTGGCATTGCTCCTTTTGTGGCTCCGTAATAAAGCTGATTCATTTTCTGGAATGTAAAAGAGTCGCATTCACTATTCAGCCCCCTTTAATCTTCTTGAGAAACTGTATGCCACAATTTACCTCTTCAATGTGTAGGTAGTATTATTTCATTTCCCGATCGTTATCTGCACATACTGGCTTCAAAGCATCTATAGTTGTGAATGTAACACATTTCACCAAGCTAAGTGAAACTGATTCCATCCTCCACTGAAGTGGATCCATCACCACGGTGGCTGCGCCGCCCAGTAATTTCAGGTGGCTTATAAATGGAAACTTATCTAGAAATGGTGTATTTGCTTTCTGTCTAAGCCTATAAATTCCCAGCCAGCATGGCCAATGGGCTAGGATGATGGGAACGGGAGTTCATCAAAATCTGGAGGTTAATATGTTAGTCACCACTATTTTGGATTATTACATTATGCCAATTCTGTACAGAGAGAAGCAAATACATTCATGATTTTTTAAAAAAACCATTATTTCTGCTCATACATAACAAAATCATGTTGGTTACCAATTTCTTAATATGTAGCAGCTGCAAAGTGTCCTTGCCACCTCCTTTGGTACAGCTTCTTCTACTAAAGCAAAGAGTTTTGTGGCACCTTAAATTCTAACAAGTTTATCACAGCATGTTATTCTTTAAAATGTTACAAAGCCATTGTATATGTTTCATAGGACCGTTCTTCTAAAGCTACACCAACAAATGTTCTTCCACACTAAAATAGTAATAATAATCATAATACAGTCATACCTCAGAAGTTGAACAGAATCCGTTCCGGAAGTCTGTTCAACTTCTGAAACATTCGACTTCTGAAATGCGGCTACTGACTGGCTGCAGGAGCCCCATCGGACATTCGGCTTCCAAAAGAACATTTGAAAACCAGAACACTCACTTCTGGTTTTTGACCATTTGGGAGCCGAAAGGTTAGACTCCCAAGGCGTTTGGGAGCCGAGGTACGACTGTAGAATGACTGCCGTGATAGGTTCTGTTTACCAATTCATCTGTCTTTTTTTCTTTTAACCTCTAATTCCATGTCCAAAGAGCTGAAGGTGGGGAAAAGTGAAACAACTGATAACAAAATAAAATCTTGTGTATTAAAGGTCATTCCAGAACAACTGAAGCCCACCCCGCTCTTCATCCCCAAATACTTGTCCAAACAACATCTTCCGATGCTCAGAATCTAAATCAGTTCTCCTTTGACATTTTGTACTTGGATGCTTAATAAGCCCAAGTACAAATAAACGCCTCCCCGGTCCTAATACCACAGTATAGTTGAGCCGAGGTCTGCACAGCTGAAATAATCACATGTAGCCTCTGTCTCCATTTCTGTTTTCTTCACTTTGTTGGCTTCCTTACTTCTTTTTCCAGACTTCAGTCCCTTTGAGGGCAGGGACCTCTAATCTCATTCTTTATAAAGTGCCATGTAAAATTTGGTGCTGTACTGACAATAGGCAAAATAACAATCAGTTGGTGCATGTGCATCATGTAAAATCAATACTTTTGTCAACAAAGCACAGGGAAGCAGCAATCAGAAAACAGCTTGTCTCTCCATCCATGCATATTTTGTTCAGAAATATACATCCACAGTTCCCAAATGAAAAAGGCAGAGGTGTTTTGTGTTTAGGTATGGGAAGCTACCTTACACTCAGACCAATTGTTCATCTCTTTCAGTATTTGTCTGCAGTGATTGGTAGTGGCTCTGCAGGATTTCAGAAAGCGTCCTCTCCCAGCCTTGCTTGGAAATGCCAGAAATTGAACCTGAGACCTTTGTATGCAAAGCATTACTTCTGAAAACAGGGTAACTACTGCATATATTTATCAAAAGGCAAGCATTTTCAACCATCAGAAGACTCCCACTCTTTATTTTGTATAGGAGAAGCAGCTCAAACTGAATTTGTGATGTCTGAAATTGGCCTAAATATAAATATTCACATTATTCTGCCTCTTTGCCTGCCTCTGATAATCAGAAGCAAATGATTGGGCATCAGCCTCATTATTTTGTGCCCTAAACCAGGCATAGGGAAAGTTCTTTTCAGTTACAGGAAAGTTCTTTTCATCTAGGATCTAGACAGTCTGGTTTAAGTGTAGAATTTCCAAAACCACATAGCTGAATCGCCTACTTATTAGTCATTTGAGCACACAACTGCCTTCAAACTGGGGGTTGCACAAGACATTTATTTCAGTTTCTGGGAAATGATTCCCCCCCCCCATGTGCTGGTTTACTACACAGAGGGAGTTCAGGGTAGGAGAGAGAGACTTGGCACGGGGAACATTTGCAACTATGACAGTACAATGCAGAAGTCTCTCACCCCTGGCTATCGCCACATTCTGTGCACTGTGCAGATTGCATCTCCACTTCTCAGTGTGACTGTGGTATCTTTGCTCCATACTCAGGAGGTGTTTGAATTCCATTGAACTATAGAGTTTTTAATAAGAAGAAAGGCCTCCTCTGATGAAATTTCGCCTCCTGTAATGCAGGGTGCAACTCTGTTGTTCTTTCAGCATTGATGGATGAAGGAAGCCAGAGGTTATGAAAAGAGGACTGGGCAGAACGTGAGCCAAGCTTGTCACTTGCTTCAATAATGTGAATAGTGAACTGTGTTAAAATAGGATCCACAGTTGCGGTCAACATCCATGGATGATGAAGTTGGAGAGGCCATTCCCCTCAATGTTCTCTAGAGGAAGACTGAACTTCTCCAGCAGTTCCAGGCAAGCTTGCAAAAGACAATTCTCAAAACTTTATCAGAAAATTATTTTCTGTCCAGAGAAAAACAAGACCGGTGTAACCTTCAGCATCCAAACTGTGCAAATACACACTCCCACTGAAATATACTCGGAGTCGAGAGTGGATTTCATGCTTTTTATTCAGCTCATAGTGGTGAGGAGAAATCGAAGTTCCCTCAGAATGTCTGCTTTATATACATTATGTACACAATGGACCCCATGTGTTGGCTAATTTCGGGATTCTCCTGTAAGCAGATTCACTTCCACTTGGAGCTAGATTGGGTGGCTCCTGTGGACCAATCAGACTGCTGCATTCTGGATCCTATTGTTCTAGGACCAATCAGACTGCTGCATTTTGGATCCTATTCAACTCAGTACATAACACCCACTGTCTCTACTTACTGGGGCAGTTTTCTGGCATCTTTGTGACTCTTCTATGTTTTTAGCAGTTTTTGATTTTAACTGTAAGCTACCTTGAGTCCCATCAAGGTGGGGTATGAATAAATATACTATACTAAAAATAAACTGTCTCTGTTAAATCGCTGCCCCAGTTTTGCCTCTTAAGGAGATACCACCCCAAGCATTTCCTTCATGGCTGCATATCTGTACTAGCTTCTACTCCTGACCACTGCCTTAGTACCAAGATAATTAAATGTTTCTAAACAGTTTTGAGTTGCAGCTTGTTCTATAATAAGCGCAACCAGCGCCATTGTGAGAATTAAACATACTTAAGCTTTGAAAGACACAAACTGTTGGAATCAGTTTACTAACACCTTTGCATCGGAGAACATGTGTAAGGCGGGGGAGGAAACTCAGCAGCGATGGTTGGAGAACAGAGATAGATGCACACACAGATACTGGAAATGTTGGATACTGGATGGGCATCATCTGGTCTATCTGACTGTTGAATATATTCCCAGATCTGTACAGGCCCACTTCTGCATTAATCTGCCATGTTAATAATAATAATAAATCTACATGAACGCCCACATTTCTGAGCACAATTCAAAAGTATTGGTGCTGACCTTTAAAGCCCTAAATGGCTTTGGCCCTGTATACCTGAAGGAACATCTCCATCCCCATCGTTCAGCCGAGACACTGAGATCCAGCTCCAAGGGCATTCTGGCAGTTCCCTCATGGCAGGAAGTGAGGGAACCAGGCAGAGGGCCTTCTTGGTAGTGATGCCCACCCTGTGGAATGCCCTCCCATCAGAAATAAACAGCTACCTGACTTTTAGAAAACGTCTGAAGGTAGCCCTGTATAGGGAAGTTTTTAATGTTGATGTCGTATTGTGTTTTAATTTGTTGGAAGCTGCCCAGAGTGGCTGGGGTAACCCAGTCAGATGGGCAGCATATAAATAAATTATTATTATTATTATTGAAATATATATTTTTAAAACGTATTTTGTTGTATTTTTAACCCCCCCTTTTTGAGCTAATAACTGGGTAACTGGGTTGGATCACTTGGGAAGTGCAAACCCTGGTTGATACCCAAATTGCTTTCCACACATTCATCTGCACCTCCTGGGTGAGGTTTGCATGTATCTGAATTTGCAATCGTCCCTAGCTGGGAGGTTTGTGTACATGAAAACCTGAAATTCCCTGTAGCCTATAAACAAGTTGCTAGCAGCACCGTCCTAGGCGTGCCTACTTTGAAGTAAGTCCAGTTGAGTCCAATAGGCCGTACTCCCATGTAAGTTTCCATACCATCACAACCTTGGACATAATCCCGAGTAAACATTTCTTTTCTTGAGGGTAATTTTAAACATGTCTTTGCCTTGAAATTCAAGAAACAGCACCCTCACTCCTTGCTTAAGGCTGGATCCCTATTACCTGAAAGGAAATGACTTGTGATCAGAAAACAGAATAACATATAATTATCAAAAAGCAAGTGTTCTCAAGCATCAGAAAACTTCAGTCCTTTATTTCACGCAGGAGAATTGATTTGAGCCGAATTTGTGGTGGCTGGAATTGCCCCAAATAGAAATATTCAAGTGAAACAAAGAAAAGGTTTTAACAGTAGTATTATATGCATTTCACCACTACTAGTGCCAGATGAGACACGCACAGGATTGCTCTGTTAGTGAGTCTGCCTCGTTACCTTAGTTTATAGACAGTAAGTGAGCTTCAGACTCACACGCACACCCTACCAATTACAGAGTGTACTCCCAGTTCTGTTCGCATCTGTTGAACTTTTCTTTTCTTTTCTGAAGAAAGAGGGCAGAACGTTGACACCAAGGTTGTGCACTGAGTCTCTTGCACTTGCTGATATGGAAAAGGCCCAGAGAAAGTGTAGTTCCATATTTTGAAATGGGATTGACTTGAGCCAGCACAGTCTTTTTCTCCCATCAGCTGGTCTGGTGACAAATAGGGCCCCTTCTTTCTTTCTTTCTTTCTTTCTTTCTTTCTTTCTTTCTTTCTTTCTTTCTTTCTTTCCTTACCCTAACAGGAAACCACACAGACCAGGAAGTAATGAATGATTATACAAAACTGGGCTGATGAACCCCAAGAGGGAGTGTCTGAGCAAATAATAATAGGAAAATTCAATATTTCTAGTCAGGAACCTGGAATTACAAGGGGATCTGTTAAGCATCTCAATATCATTGATATCAGCTACTATATTAGGTTCCCACCCCCCTCTTTAGCTTCATCGTTCAAATTACTGCATATTCACCAGGAACATGCAACTCAAACCACTATATATGCTGATCTAATACAAAATATTGTTGAATTAACAGCTTAAATGCTGGCTGGACAGATTTTTTCATTGTTTAACCTAGGTGTAGTCAACCTTTTTATACCTACTGCCAACTAATGCATCTTTCTTGATGGTAAAATTTCCTTTCCGCCCACCAGTGCTCAAGGGAAGGATTCAGCTTGTGCCGTAGAACCCCCTACCGCCCACCCAGAATCCTCAAACGCCCGCTAGTGGATGGTAGGGACCAGGTTAACAACCCCTGGTTTAACCATTCCTCTAATGGTTAATGCAATAACAACACAAGAATATAAGGTTAATGGGTAAAGAAGAAAAAGATAAGGCATGTTTTCTTCTTAGGTTTAGGATGAGGCAGCAATAATAATTAAAAAAAAAACTTTGTCCCACCAGCCTCTGCCAGTGAAGTGAAGCCAGCATCACTCTACTGACAGGGAACTCCCTATTCTTCCCAGCAAACATGCAGGACCCTGTGTATTATATGCACAAATGGAAACTGCATGCTACTCCCATAGCTTGCCCCAGCTGCAAATACTTGGGGCTCTGCACATGGTTCCATTTTCTCAACCGGGACTGTCTGAACAATCCCAATGAGATCATTCATATGATTAGCTTTGAAAGCAACAAATCCTCTGTGAGCATGCTGAGGGGATTGAATCCAGGTTCTTAGGCCATACATAGACACGCCATATTTTTAACTGACCCTGGTGGCTATATTTGCATGGGGGTAAGAACCAATAGAGATACAGTACTCTGCTCTGGTACGTGTATCTCTGGATTTGTGTATCAGAGATACCCACTAGATTTGTTCCAGTACAACTAAGAATGTCCAGGTTTTGAGCCTGGCCCATTACTTAATAAATGCACAAATCTGTAGGCTTTAATCGCTCGATGTTGTTGTTGTTGTTGTTGTTGTTAATACCCCACCCATCTGGCTGGGCTTCCCCAGCCACTCCGGGCGGCTTCCAACAAAATATTAAAATACAGTAATCCACCAAACATTAAAAGCTTCCCTAAACAGGGCTGCCTTCAGATGTCTTCTAAAAGTCTGGTAGTTGTTGTTCTCTTTGACATCTGGTGGGAGGGCGTTCCACAGGGCGGGCGCCACTACCGAGAAGGCCCTCTGCCTGGTTCCCTGTAACTTGGCTTCTCGCAGTGAGGGAACCGCCAGAAGGCCCTCAGAGCTGGACCTCAGTGTCTGGGTAGAACGAGGGGGGTGGAGACACTCCTTCAGGTATACTGGACCGAGGCCATTTAGGGCTTTAAAGGTCAGCACCAACACTTTGAACTGTGCTCGGAAACGTACTGGGAGCCAATATAGGTCTTTCAAGACTGGTGTTATGTGGTCTTGGCGGCTGCTCCCAGTCACATGTCTAGCTGCCGCATTCTGGATTAGTTGTAGTTTCCGGGTCACCTTCAAAGGTAGCCCCATATGTTGTTTTCCCATATCAGAGAAATGGCAGACCTTTGGATTCTACAGATCCACCGTCTCCCATGCTCTGGTTCAATCATGTCCCAAACACATCCAGAATATCGGTAACAGAGGAATTATGGTGATGGAGCTTTGTGTTACACAACAGGGAAGACTCCAGCAATGAACTTCCTTCTCCACCCACGCAGAGGGATATCTAAGGTACCAATAACCCCTCTGCTGCCTTTTCCTGGAATTTAGGATTGTTCCCTTCGAAGTGTAGACCAAGTGGAATCTTTTAAACAATGAACTCATCTTCTTCATATTTTCTCTGAAGTGCCATACTGTTTGGTTTGTTTGTTTTTTAATGTATTTTTATTAACGGTTTCTTGGTTTGCAAAAGTATGTGCAATGTCTCTTTTTTCAAGTTACATTTTCTACAGATCTGTTTCATTTGTTGAGACATTAGTGTTACATTAGGAAGAAAAAGGGGGAAAGAGATGGAGGGGGGATGGTGAGTGGGGTTGGGGTTGGGTAGCAATGTTTCTATTTTACTTAATGTACGTGTGGGGTTTTATGTCAGCATTGCTTGTGCAGGTTCTCTTTGCTATTCGCTTGTGTTCCTTTGGTGTTGAGAGAGGTTGGGGGTTGACCTAGGGTGTGATTGTTCATTTGTGATTGGCTGTGGTGAACTTTGTTTTCATGTGTGAGTGGGGTGGGTGGATGTTTTGGATCAGGTTAGCCATATTGACTCTTATGCTGTTGATGGATTCTTGTTGTTGTCTTGTTGGGCTATGTATGAGATAAAGGAGAGCCATACTGTGGTGAAGGCGTCTTTTTCCGTTTGTCCCCATGTCAGTTTCAGTTTAATTTTTCTAGTAAGGCTGCTTCCCATATTATTTGGTACCATTGGTCCATGCTTACTCCTGACAGGTCTCTCCAGTGTCTGGTTATGATGCCATACTGTTTGATGGAATTTTCATCTGTCAAGATATCTAGGTCTTGTTTTAGGGCCAAGTTTGGTAGCAATCAACCAATTTTCAGAGTAAACGCATTGGAAGAAAGTCAAGGTAGGACAAGGTGATTACTTTATTGGAACAAGCATTTATGTGTTGGAAATGGCCAAACTATACACATGTCCATTTTCTAGCTACCTGTTCCATATGCTTGAGGTTTGGATCTAAGGTTTAGATCTATGAGAGTCCCGCCTATCCCCAGTGTTAAAATGGGCTCCCCCATCTTGTCTTTACTTGTCTTTACTGTTCTTATTAAGCAAACATTTGTGTCACAGCCCATTTAAAAAGTCCACATTGCATTAAGCCTATAAAGGCAGCTTCCTGTTTCTTCAGGCTTCTTTCAAGTGCAGTTCCACCCTCCTAGTGTGTAAGCAGCCTTGAATTAAAAATGAGCAGGTGATGAAACACAGAATCCACATCCTTGAAGTACTTGCAACCCCTGAATTTCAAAATCGCTCCTTCTCCCCAGTGAGCTCTCTTGACTTACACTGAGTGTAAAAGAGCATAAAAATGAGTGGCAATTTATGCACATAAATCTGAGAGTACCTCCTTGTCCTTCCTTCTCTCTTGCACATCGGTACAGAGGCTGAAGAGCAAGGCAGCTTGAGCCGTAGGGCTAAACTCCTCCAAGGCAAATTGGCAGCCTCAGCTACTGTAATTTCCTAATTGGACTTCAGCGGGGCTGAACTATACCAACAATCATCCGAGGAGAAGCAGGAGAGGAGTCTGGGTGCACAGTGATGTCTGCATCGAGCTCTTTCAGTCATTGTTCAGCTCAGTGCCATAATAAGGCGCTGCTGATATACCATTGCCCGCAGCTATTCTAAGAGTTGTTCGCGTTTTTCTTAAAGTGTGAGAAAGAAACAGCACTGCACAAAGCTTTCCATTTAAAAAAGGGCTGGGGATTTATTCTGTTCATACCCAGTATTCTGCCTCTGAATACCAGTTGTGGGGAATCACAAGTGGGAGAGTGTTATGTTGCTTGTTCAAGTCCTGTTTATGTCCCACTTGCAGTACTAAGAATCGCTTTTACAGAATTATGATTCCAATCGATGCCCTCGGCGATGGTGGATGTTCAGTACGGCAAAGGAGAGACTTTGTCTGTGTGGGCAACCTTGCGTAGAGGACCTGTACCACTATTTATTGCAATGCCCACTACATACAGAACCACGAGACCGATTTATAAAACCCCTGCTCACGAATGGAACACACTTGAACAGGGCGGAAAGGGTGAAATGGCTGCTGAGTGATACTGGTGACTTCGTAACTTACAAAGTAGCACTATATGCGTTGGCAGCTAAGAAGACCAGGAGAAAAGAACTAGATAAAATAGATGTCAATTGCAAAGGTGATTTGGACATTTAAGCTGGCACATTCTATCTGAGAACCCCCTGCTATTATATCGTATGCAACAAATAATTTCTAGGAGACGTGGCCGTTGTTCATTGTCTTTTCAGTGCCCGATGTTTTTATGGTTTTTATGGTTATTGTTGTTTTTCCTTTTGTTTCCTTTGTGGATGATGCCATGGCCTTTGGCTAGCGCAATAAAGTTTATGATGATGTAAGTCCTGCTTATGGGCTTCCCATAGGCATGAGAACACAACACTAGACTAGATGGGCTTTTGGTCTGATCGCACTTGATTTTACTTATCTTCTCAGTGAAATTGAATTTTATCCCCTTTACATTTTGTAAGTCATTTAGTAGCTGAATCATAGAACTGCAGGGCTGGGAGGGACCTCAAGGGGCATCTAGTCCAACACCCTGCAAAGGAGGAATGGCTAAATGAATCCTGGGTTGGACTGACCTTGGAAGAAGATTAATTTACACAAAGGATGGGGAACCTGTGTATCTCTAGATGTTGTTAGCCTCCCAACTTCCATCAGCCCCAGCCAGAATGGCCAGGGATCAGGGATTATGGGAGCTGGAGTCCATCAAAGTTTGGAGGACACAGGTTTCCCACCCCTGGTTTAGGATCAAACCTCTTCTTGAATAGCTCCACCCTTCATTTACATGTTTCCACCCTGAGTTCAATCTTATTGTTCATATTGGAGGGTGAGGCTGCAGTAATGGAATGGAACACAGAAAATTAGTATGAGTATGAGGACAATATAATTTGACAATCAAATCAATCATTCTTTTTATGTCTTAAGTCGCCTTCTCTCTCTCTTTCACAGATGCATGCTCTGCAGAAAATAAAAATGATAGAAGCACAATACTTCTGCTTTCTTTCTTTCTTTCTTTTTTAAAGTACAGTTGTTCCTTGGTTTTCGAACAGCTTAGTTCTCGAATGTTTTGGCTCTGGAACGCCACAACCCCGAAAGTGAGTGTTCTGGTTTGCGAAGTATTTTTGGAAGCCGAATGTCCAACAGTATTCTGCAGCTTCTGATTGGCTTCCTGCAGCCAATCAGAAGCCATGCTTTGGTTTCTGAATGTTTTGGAAATCAAACGGACTTCCAGAACTGATTCCGTTCGACTTCCGAGGTACGACTGTAACGTCAAGAAGTATTCAGGAGGACTGAAAATTCTGTATCCAGAGTAGTTGTTATTATTTTGATACAAGGGTCTAAACACACCAATAAAGAGTGTAATGCAGGGACCACAGCTACAGAATCCCTGGGAGATGGCCATCCGACCTCTGGAGCAAAAACAAAAGGCAGCTTGGACACGGGGCTTTAAAGCGCAGGCTGTGCCTGGAAGGATTGCTAGAAAGGTAAGTATGGATTAGCCCATTGTGTTGTTCATAGCTGTTGTAATTCTGCAATCACATCTTTGGCTATCTGAGTATTGTTGTGCACATGCCAATGAACACACTGTATCAAGATAGTTTTTTTATTGCATTTGTTTGTTTGCTTCTTATATGCAATCTAATCAGGTATAAAGTTGCATGATGGGGCAAGGGGGCAGAATAAGGCTGGTGGAGTTGGTCCTTAAATGTTGTCAACACAAGAGGGGGAGAATGGAATGCCTGGGCAGCAAGAGGTGCCTCTTCAAAGGAAGTTACTAGATAGGAACACCTCCAGCAGAGATCAGTTGAAAATGATCAAAGAAGCTTTGGGGCTTTATCTCTCTCTTTCTCTCTCTGTTTCTCTCACGAGCCATTCCGCAAACACATAATTGCAGGAAAGCAAATAAATGTGGTAGAAAAACATACAGTTATCTGCATGATACATTCTTGGGCAGTTTACAGAGGTCCAGAACAGAAGTCTCAGTGCTAATAAATTACATTTGATTTTTAAAAAATGTATAAGGAAAAGGTAGGAATTGAGGGAGGGAAAAGAGAGGTGCTACCCTGACAGTCAACAGGGACCTGTATTTTTTGCTGTGGAACCCCATAGCATCTACCCCATGTAGATTACAATTGTTTACCAGGAGGGATTGTCAAAGGGCCAACAAACCAGTGTTTAAGGGGGGAAAGGAGTATATATCACAAAATATGAAAGGGCTAACAAGTATGCAGATTCAGTTCAAACAGACATGAGTACTGTAGACAAAGCACAGTTCAGATCAACAGGTTATGCAGCAGGAGAGAAAAATGGGAGGTGTTGCCAAATAAGGACTGGCAAAAGTCACTGGGCACCTGGCAAGCTGCGTGGGAGACCGAGTTGCAACAGGGTGAAGTTGACATTAAAATGACCTAAGGACTGGGCAGCACAAGGGCCAGGATGGAGTGAGAACAAAGTCAGAGAAAATACAAAAAGAGAGAGATTGAAGCAGATATATTTACCTGTTTGAAAGAGAAGGGAGCATTTGGGAGCTTTTGCTCAGGACTGACAGAGATGCAGGAGTCCACACCACAGACCAAATATCATTGCTAGAGAGATTTTTCCTTGCAAATTATGCTTGGGAGCAAATGCAAGCTATGGGTTTTCATGCTCACCTGCAGGCAGCGATGGGGAACCAAAGGTAGAGAAGCCTTTTTAGGATTCCCTGGAGCCCAAGTTGGTGCCATCTCCCAAGCAAGGCTACTTGAGTTCCCTTCCATGAACCCTCCTAATTTCTGAATCAAAAGAGAGAGGCTGTGCACTCCCATAGGTTTCCAGCTAGACAAAAAACAAAGTAAAGATGGCAGGAGAGTAGGGAGGTGGTTACAGATGGGTGGGACATAGGAATGGGAGCCAGGCTAACTAGGGTTGGAATAGTCTTCTCACGGGAGAATTCCTCCAAAAACAACAGGGTCGGTGAGGAGAGGACCCTTTAAAGTTCTGCTTTCCCCCCAAAGAGAGAAGAATACAAGAGGACAGTAAACAAGAGTAATGTACCTGCCACAGGGTGTTTGGGAAGCTGATCGGAAACGAGCCTCCTGAGTATGAGTGCTGTTGTAATTAAAATCTGCCCTTTTTTCTCTTATGGGGTATCCAAGAGCCCGTATAGAGTCCTTATGTGGGTTCCCTATTAGTAGGAGAAAATAACAGAGGCCAACCAGAGAATATTGACAAGCAAAACAGCTAGTAAGCCTGATCTTTATTGATCTGCTGCAACAGGGTGCTCCCCTCGCATGCAGGAAAGGAGGAGGACCCAGAACCAAGGTGTGCCTGCCCTTATATAGACATTTTGAATTCCCTGCCCTGGAGCTCAAGACCACCCCTCCATACATCATACATACATCACAGAATGGGTGTAACCCAAGACCACCACCCCCCAAACATCATACCTACATCACAGAAAAGGTGGTCTACAACAGAAATTTGAAAGTTGTTGTTTTTCCTGTCTACCAGGTTATCTGATAATGCCTTATCTGATTGCCTTTCCTGGTAGTCTGTCACCCACTCCTTTGAGATGGTAATTACTAAATTCCTGTAACAAGGAAGGTATTTTCACCTCCTCCCTCCTTGCAGAGAAACATTTGGTCAGCTTAGGAGTCAAAATGGTTTCAGGACTGTCTTCCTGTGCTGCTTCAGACATGTGGTTTATATATTTATGTACGTGTTTGCTTGGTACATTTATGAACATTTATTATATATATAAGTCAACTTTTATTATTACAGTGCTATCAAGGGTAAAAAGACCTCCAGTTAAAGACAGCTAGCACACACCAATTCTTACTTCCTCTGCCATGCTTGCCTATGTCCTTGCTTTGCGCACTCATGTCCAGCGAGTTCTCCCCTGCCCTAAGTGGATCACAGTTTTAGGTGTATTTAAGAATGAAAAGTGTGAATATCAGAAAAGGATGCTTGAAAAGTCATGTGTCACACAGGTACTCTGCAGAGAAAGATGGGACTGGTTGCAGCTCAGTATCCTGTTGAGAATGCACTTGATGGATCTGTTGCTATTCAATGTGTGGCTTGGCCTTTAGTAATCCTACAAGATGGGCACATCAGATGGAACTTTAAATTCTTTGGATGGCAAGGAAATTTCATAGCTGTGAAATTGGGGTCCCAAACAAAACTGCAGATAGGCACAGCTACATACAGATAGGTGTCTCAAGTCGGGATGGGAGAGAAATTTGGTTTAGCTTGCATTTTAATACTTAATTTGCCTTTCTCAAAACAAGATATGATCCAAAGCGAATCTGTCCTTTGAAATTTGCAATTCTCCCAAGTTTACGGTTCCAACCAAATAATGTGTACAAATGTGTATGTTAGAGAGAAGTGGACATAAGTTGCATATATTAGGGAAAACATAACATACAAAATGCATGCAATTAGGAAAAACTGCTTGCAGAAATATGTGGATTAGGCAAAACTGCATACAATGGTATGTACGTTTAGCACTAAATGCTAACAAATTGTCATAATAACTGTTTTTTAAAAGGCAAATTGATGTGGAAATGCGACATATTGAACTTAAGGCTGGAAAAATAAGAAGCTGAGAAGAACCAAATCTTGCCTCTCCCTAGTAGGGAAGAAGTTTGTGAATAATATTATCATTGGAATCTGTTGCACAATAGTGTCGATTTTGGGTGTGCCACAATGATTCAAATCTGTATTCATTTATCCTGCTGCCTGGTACAGGGTGGTCCTTTGCAAGAGGGTTGTCTGCAGAGAAACCACTTGCAAAGAAGGTGTGATCCTGGAATCTCTTGAGTATCTAATTAGCTGCAATCCTGAATTTATTCAGGGCCAGATCCAGGGCGAGGCTGAGGAGGTCCTGAGGTTGATCCAGGGTGAGTCAATCTGATCCCTGGATCAGAATTATGGGGCAGACAGTGGGGGCTTCCACAGCCCTAGGTAATATATAAATGATATGCACACTAATTTGGATCAACTTTATGGTAACTGCT